AAATGTACACAAATAAAATAGGAATTACCTTAAATTTATTGAGATAAAAAAAAACGCATTTACTCAGTACTTTTACTGCAGGATGCAACATAACGCTGCACTCTAAGTACTAACAAAATATTAATGGTTATAAATAAAATCATCCATTAGCTTTTTCAAGTAAAGAAATAAAATAGGACCTCTCTACTTCTCCTTGTTCTTCAAATGGATTTTGGATGACCAGTGGTCAGTGCGTGTATTTTTGCGCCTCCAATCAATGGAATGTTGATGAAACGATAGTTCACCTGACACGTAAAAGTCATGAGGGAACTGCTCGGCTCTGTACTCGGGGCTTAGCGTCGTGTTTCTCAACTTTGTCGCCAAAAGCGGAGCTGCGGAGAGCCGCTTCGTCATTTTTTTAAATGTTTTGATGAGGGAGGGTGAGCGGAAATGACGGAGCGGGAGGGGTTGTGTCGCCCAAATTTGCGTCCCCCGGTGTGCATTTCTCCCCGACGTACGTTCCTCTCCCACACAAAAACAGAATTTCATTTCAAATGTAGAAATTCCGCGTTAATTTACCATTTCCAGTGCCCCAGTGATGGTTAATGAGGCATCTTGAAGCCAAACTGTATTGATGCTGCGGTAAAACTTTCTCACAGAATACTGACACCTTATTGGACAGATTAAACTGAATTGATTTGACGATCTGTTACAATGATATAAGGATAAATAAATATATATATATATATATATATATATATATATATATATATATATATATATATATAGATGAGGTTTATATTGTATTATTTCATATCCATGTTTAAATTGAAAATGAAATGAAATGAATGAAATGTTTTTCCTCCATCTCTCCCCTAATCATTAGCTTGGCATCATGGTCATAAATAAGCTAGCATCGCGGTTGTAGTTAAATGACGGGGTGTTGGGGGTGTCCTCTCTCTCTGTCTGTGAGCAGCAGACTTTGGGACCCTTTCTAAATCCAGGACTTCTCAATCAGCTGGTCCAAACTGGTCTGAAATCTAAGGATGTCCCGATACTTAATTTCCAATACAATACTGATATTCAGCTTTGAGGATTGGCTGAGGACTCAATGGACGTGATACAACATCACCCAGGGTTTTATTAAAAGCTTTATACTGCAGAATGTTAGAAAAGTTTTGATCAAGTATTATTATTATTATTAAGGAACAAAAGTAACAGAAGCAGAGTGTTTCTGTCAGCATGAAAATATCGCTGAGCTGCACATACAGAAAAGCGAACACACTGTCAGGAAACAGTAGTGCTCTGCACTGGGGCTGCAAAATGTGGCATCACAGCATAAGGCTTTCATATTTCAATTATCAATCAGTCTTTAGTTTACCCATTTAGAATAAGAAGGCGGAGCCTTCCCATCAGCCTAGCTTAACATCGGATGTTTTTGATTGATATTAATGATTTGTTTTTTCCACAGGCTGTGAGAAAACCTTCATCACCTTCAGTGCACTCTTCTCCCACAATCGCACTCATTTCAGAGAAACGGGCCAGTTCTCCTGCACTTATCCGGGCTGCAACAAGACGTACGACAAGGCCTGTCGGCTCAAAATTCACATGAGAAGTCACACAGGTAAGCTGCTGGAAGCCGTGAGTGCTGCTGGTCCACAGCAGACCCCCAGTCCCACAGCAGACCCCCAGTCCCACAGCAGACCCCCAGTCCCACAGCAGACCTCCAGTCCCACAGCAGACCCCCAGTCCCAGCGGGATACAGTTCACTCCTCCAGAACAAGCAGTTCCCTTCTGAACCCCACGGTAGCAGCAGAGTGTCCTGACCGCTTATTAAAGATGACATCAAAGATGGTCATCTTTGATGGCTTGTAGCGACAGTGGAGAGG